CCAAATTTTGTTGCCTCTGTGTCTAGTACAGCTTCATTTGATCTATGGCATACTCATCTAGGTCTCCTTTCCCCTCATAGAATAAAAGTGTTAGCTAGTTCAGGGGTCGTTAGGAAATGTTTCTTCTAAAAACATTTATTGTCTATCTTGTAAACTTGGTAAACACCATGCCCTTCCTTTTAACATTAATGAATTTACTTCTGCTTTACCTTTTGATCTTATTCATTCTGATGTATGGGGACTAGCACCACATCCCTCCATGGGTGGTGCTCGGTATTTTGTTATTTTTGTGGATGATCATACACGCTTCACTTGGATATATCTTATGAAGCATCGTTCTGAGTTACCACATATTTATATCACTTTTGCCCGTATGATTCTAACTCAATTCTCCAAACCTATWRAGATTCTTCGAGCAGATAATGCTATGGAGTACAAAGAATCTTCTATTCTCTCGTTTCTTAAGTCTCAGGGTACCCTCTCTCAGTACTCCTGCCCTGGAACATCTCCCCAAAATGGTCGTGYTGAACGAAAGCATAGACACATTCTTGATACTGTTCGCACTCTTYTGATCTCAGCTAAATGTCCTGAACRTTTTTGGGGTGAAGCTGCTTTCACAGCTGTCTATACCATCAATAGACACCCCACTCCTACACTCAGTCACAAATCTCCTTATGAAATACTATATGGAGTCTCCCCTGCGTATGAACTTCTAAAAGTATTGGGATGTGCATGCTTCATTCAGTTACAATCCCATGAATACAATAAACTTGAGCCTCGTGGTCGTTTGTGTTGCTTTCTTGGCTATGGTATCGAACACAATGGTTATCGTTGTTGGGATCCTATCTCGAAACGTCTACGTATCTCTCATCATGTTACTTTCTGGGAACATGTTCCCTTCTTCACCATGCCAAACTCGGCGTCCAGCACCCTCACTACTCCCTTCTTTATTGACCCGTCAAACTCCTTAGATGTCCCTACTCCTATTTCAGATGCTCCTGCACCAGTCACTTTCCCTGAACCAGCTTCTATACCTCCTCCGGATCAAGCTTCTGTACCATCTCAAGGTTCTACACCTGAGCCATCTGTGGAGTCTGCGGATCCTGAATCTTCACAATCCGAGAATGTTAGCCGCTCAGACAGGGTAAGACATGTTCCTTCTCACCTTCGTGATTACCACTGCTATGCAACTCTTTTATCCAATCATGAACCGACTTCCTACTAGGACGCTTCTTTTAGTACACATTGGCAGGCAGCTATGCAGGAGGAACTTCAAGCTCTTGATAAAGCTCAAACTTGGGACACTGTTCCTCTTCCTCCTGGTAAGAAACCGATTGGATCTAAATGGGTCTTCAAAATTAAGACGAAGTCTGATGGCTCCCTTGATCGGTACAAAGCTCGTCTAGTGGCAAAGGGCTTCAATAAGGAGTATGGCATCGATTATGAAGAGACATTTGCACCAGTTGCTCGTGTAACATCTGTTCGCAGTCTTCTAGCTATTGCAACCACTAAACATTGGCCACTCTTCCAGATGGATGTTAAAAATGCCTTTCTGAATGGCGATCTGTTCGAAGAAGTTTATATGACTCCTCCTCCTGGTATTTCTCTCCCTACAAGGCACGTTTGTAGACTTCGAAAAGCTCTCTATGGCCTCAAACAAGCTCCTCGGGCTTGGTTTGAAAAATTCAACACTACAGTCCTCTCCTTGGGCTTCTCTACAAGTAATTATGATTCTGGGTTGTTTACTCATACTACTGATGTTGGCATGATTCTTCTTCTCCTTTATGTGGATGATATGATCATTACTGGCAGTGACTCTGCAGGCATCACGCTTCTTAAACAATCTCTCAGTGCTAGTTTTGAGATGAAGGATCTTGGTAAACTCCATTACTTTCTTGGTCTTGAAGTTTTATCAGACTCTGCGGGTACTTAACTTTGTCAGGCCAAGTACACATCTGATCTTCTTTCTCGCGCTGGTATTACTGATAATAAGGTGGTCTCTACACCTTTGGAACCCAACCTTCATCTGACACCAAATGCAGGTCCTCCACTACGGGATCCTACATTATACCGTCAATTGGTAGGTTCTCTGGTTTATCTCACTGTCACTAGACCTGACATTACCTATGCAGTTCATATTGTCAGTCAATTCATGTCTACACCGTGCTCTGATCACTATGCCGCTGTTCTGTGCATTCTAAGATATTTAAAGGGGACCATGTTTCATGGTCTGTTTTTCTCCTCCACGTCCTCATTGGTTTTACGTGGGTTTTCTGATGCTGATTGGGATAGCGATATGACTGATCGTCGTTCTACTACATGGTTCTGCTTCTTTCTTGGTAATTCTCTGATTTCCTGGCGCAGCAAGAAGCAGTCTCTTACTGCTCGTTCTAGCACTGAAGCTGAGTACCGAGCCCTTGCAGATACCTCTCAAGAGCTCATCTGGCTCCGCTGGCTACTCTCCGACATGGGTGCTCCTCAACTCTCACCAACTGTGCTATGGTGCGACAACACCAGTGCTATTCAGATCACTCACAACGATGTCTTTCATGAGCGTACCAAACATATAGAGATTGACTGTCACTTTGTTCATCAACATGTTGCGCGCAAGACAATTCAACTTCAGTGTATCTCTACGGTTGAACAGTCGGCTGATATTTTTACCAAACTCACCTTCCAGGACGGTTTCGGGAACTTGTTTCCAAACTCAACCTGGGTCTTTCTTCCCCTGGTTAAGTTTGAGGGGGGSTGTTAGTTGTATATAAGAAGCACATATATATAAGCCCGTGGGCTTTTAGGTTTAGGGTTTAGGCACTCTGTACTATCCTATATAAGTAGCTTAGGTTTTCTCCTTTTCTTGTAATGTTCCCACAATATTCATTTAATACAAACGACAATCTTTTGGCCCTCTCTTTCTCTTATTCTAACAGGAATGAAAAGCCATCTATCATCTATGGGTGTTGCTTTGTGGAATTTTGAGTGTGTTCTTGCCTTCATGGTTGCAAGAAGCTTCTAATGGAAACGGTAGTGATGCAGGTATACCGTATGATCAATATTTCAGACATTTTGAAATGCCAAGAGTGTTGTGAGATGAATATCGTCGGTAATTTAGAGTAAAATGGCATGATAAGGGATCAAGTTTTTTGTTAGCCAATACGTCTGAAGAGAAATTGGTTGGTGTAAACACAGGCTTGATTGATTTTTTCATATGCTTGATTTTTGGTTCATTTGTTGTATGTTTCGGTTCTTATTTATATAGTTTGAAGTGATTACTTGTTATATTTATGATCGAATATAGATTTTAATTGTATGCAATATTTTTCATTTAAGCTTTATCTTGTTATCGAATATCCCTCTAGCCATATATAATCAGTAAATTCATATTAGCGTAAATTACATATCTCATCCCAATGGTTATATAAAAATTATAAATTGGATCCCTCAAACAAAATAATTTCAATTATAGTCATCGTGGTTTCACTATTGTTGCGGATCGAGTCCCCTACCATAACTTTGTCAACTCAAGTTCAGTTAAGATAGGGTGTTATAGTTATTATACAATTTCTTTTTCTATTTTCAATTAAAAACTTAAATAATTTTATGATTATATATATATATATATATATATATATATATATATATATATATATATATACTAGGTTCGATCCTGTGTATTATACATGGTAATTTAAAATAATTAAATCCTGTCAGAAAACTTATCTTACGAATATGAATGATCATCGAAAGTAAGATGTTGCTTAAGACTTGTACTCTTGACATAACTCTGAAAAATAATTTTTCAGAGTTGAATTTAGAAATGAAACTATATTAATAATTAGTTAAAATGAAGTTAACTTTGAAATAAAACTGAATTTAGAAAAGAAACTATATCAATAATTAGTTAATAAAGTTAATTAACTTTAAAATAAAATTGAATTTGGAAATGAAACTATATCAGTAAATTGATTTTAATCTTAGATGTAAATACCATTTTTTTGGGGAATCAATTACTACACAAATTAATTAATCCAAAAATAAAATCAATTGCATCTTAAATTAGTGGAATTACTCGAATAAGAGGACATGTGTCAATCAAATGAGTTTAATTGATCTGTTAATGTAAATTGTGTCAAAATACGTTCAAATGAATCTAATTTGACTGCTAATATAAATTGTTTTAGATTCATGTTTAGACGGAAAACACTAAAATTGACTCACACACGTGTCACGCGATATCATAAGTATAGATGTATGTATATACTTATACTTCTACACCTCCGTCCCTATGGTTTCTTCGGCGACTACCCATTTTTTCCCGACGATCCATTTCCCTCACAGCAGATCACTGTCTCCTTCTTTGGCAAGGAGCTTCTCCATCTCCAGCAACGAGCTCCATGGATTCTCAGACTCTAAGAACTACCTAGAACTCACAAAGTCGTTGTGGTGCTCTCCACCCTCGGTCGTGACTACGTGACCGTTCGATCTTATCCATTTACGGTTATAACCGTCAAATCATCAATAACCATCGATCTCTCATTTAAATATGTAAAACAAGAATCTGGATAAAATATCTCGATTTTCACAGCTTTTAAAATGATAGAGAAAACTCAAGAAGTATCCCAATATGAAATTCTTGAACCCAAGGCTAATAGGGTTGAATTGTTGTATTTAAAAAGTATCTTTCCTGCATGATCCTTAAGTTTATCACGTCTATCATCTTCTCCTAAACACATTTCCTAACAAGTTAATTAAAATTACATCGTTCGTTTTAATACTAGTTGTAGGCCCACGCAATGCGGCGGGATGTAACATGTAAATGAAAGCAAGCAAAAATAAAGAATACAAATGAAGTTTAATCAAATAAATCATACAAGTACGTGAAATCAGGTGAAGGTGAAGCAAAGTGATGTCATGAGTGAAAAACATCTAATGTATTTTCATTAAAGAATAAGGGACATTAAGTATTCAAAATTACTTTGATAATAAAAACCTAAAGTATGTGGGAAACAATTTGAAGTAGAAAACATGAACAACCAAAATGCTTTGTGGTTAGAGTTCATAACCATAAATGTAAAGGATGCGAGCGAGTCAACTTCTGGCTACTTACAACTGCTACACATATGTAGAATGCTTGAAGCAAAGACATTGACGGATCATATTCAAGCGAGTAAAGTCCATCTTCAAGTGAAACCAGGCTAATTTTGCACAGTGAAACCCTGCATTTCGTTCCATTCCACAACTTCATAATTCCTTTTTCGTAGAAAAATAGATTTGAAATGATGGTATAAGAATAGGAGGCATACAACTACCAAAAACAAAGCAAATACCTCGTGACAAAGGTCGAGACGATTTGAGGGAGTTGGGATTTCATTTTGATGACTGAGAACATGAAATTAGCAACCGATATCCAGCCTCCACAATCACATACTTCACCAGATCTCCATCGGTTTATCAATGAAGAAGGTCATCCACCGTTTGGTAGACTATGAGCACCATCAGGGAGAATAACCACCGTGCTATTCGAGTTCCCTATATCTCCACAGATTTCATCACTTGGAATCTTCACAATTATAGCAGCTACCTCCCCATCTAGCATGCAATCAAGTGTTTTCTCATCTGCCTGCACATTATCACTACTATATAAGACCGACTCTCATACCACATATAGGTCTTTCTCTGAACCACTAAACTCAGCATGATATAAGCTACAAATATTCATATGTCTAACCATATTATACCCAAAACAGAAACTTTTTTTCTTTTGAACCTTGGTTATCCAACCTCCATGCTTCTTCTTGTTCTCGTGTATAAAGTAGAATGCATAAATCAAGCTTGAATCATCCTTCCCAAATGGTAACTTTTTGACAACATCAGCTAGAATGTCGATGCTGCTCTCCACCACAAGTTTGAAAAAAGGGATTCCATTCTTCAAAGTTAGTTGTAGGAGAGCCGGTAAAAGATCATAACCATAAATGTAAAAGATCTTGAAGTCTAGAAAAGATAAGAATTAGAATACATAAATGTAAAGGATCTTGAAGGTAAACGGTGCCATTCATATTGTTAGAGGTTTGTAAAATTTGGAAACCTAAACACATAAAAATCCTACTTCCAAGTGGAAAACGATGGATGTCTTACATTTGGTTCCTAAAAAAGGTGTAAAAGGCCAACAAAAGGTAGCTTAAGGAAATAAAAGATATGACAGATTACAAATATATTCATACCTCTCATTCGCTAAAATTTGACTTGAAACCTCTTGTGGTAAGATCTTGACTTGATTGGTATGAAAAAAAAATGTCAATTTCAAATCTAATTAGCAACCAACAAAATGAAACAAAGAACCAAAGATAAACCATTAAAAATGTCAAAAGCTCAGGAATCTGCAAGTTGTTCAATTACAATATTGAAACATCAAACTGATTGATAAGGAAGGTTGTAGTATCTTAAGGCATTTGAGCTTGACACTTCTATAAAATAGTCCAGTAGAGAAGGCTGACACATGAGCCACCTGTAATATCAAAACTCAGATAATCCCATGACATAAAAAGAGAAAAACACAAAAGCTTTTATATCATGGATAAATTTTTTCAAAACCTGTAGTATGCGCTTGCAAAATGAGCAATTACAATAGTACTTGGTTTTAATTGCAAAAACCAATGGTTTTTTATTGCCTTCAGCAATCGTTCCTATAACAATGTATAAGGAACGACCTGCTAGAAAAGAAAGGAAGACTGCAGCAAGACAAAAACCCTTTTAATAAAAAAGAACGTTGCAATAACACAAGAAATGCATTTGAGAACCATGGTGGGAATCCTCCTAGGGAAGGGATTTTCAAGATAAACCCAAAAGTGCATAAATGAATATACCAAAGTAAATAAACAAGAGATCCGATTTGTGGAATTGAAGAACATTTATAGTAGATGAAGGAAAAGGTGATTACTTACCTGGTGAAGTTAAGGAAATGATGAATTCGAATCTGATGAAAGGAAGGCAATTTTGAACTTCTTCGTTTGGGGAATATGCAGAGGAGGCCAAAGGTCAGGGTTGAATGATCTTGTGAACAGTCACCTTGGGTGAGGGAATGGTCACCTTGGGCCTTGAGGAGGGAAGTCTGACAGAGAGCGTGTCTTAAAAGATGACCCAAATTCTAAGCATATCATTAAGAGATTTTCATAAAGTGCATAATATGACACTAGTTAATGAATCATAAGTTGTTTTTAAGATTTTTAAGGGGCCGTTTACCAAACACTTAACCGGTAAGCGCTTACCGGTAATATTCAACATTATCATTTACTTACCTGGAAAGATTTTAGTTCACGAAAACGACATTGTATGCAACAATTTACCTGGTAAGCGCTTACCATGTTAAGAGTCAATCGTCCTCACTTACCGGATAACACTCTTTTCCTTGCTTTGCTCTTACCAGGTATAGATTTTTTGTCCTTATCGCATTCATCCGGTAAGGTAATGTGAGTCGGTAAGCTCTTACCCAAATAAGAGTTTGGTAAACGGCCCCTAAGAGTTTAATTTTTTTAAAATTTTAAGACTTTTAAGAAATTTGGTTTATAAGATAACTTGTTGTGTACCCGCGCAATGCAGCGGGATGAAAAATTCGAATAAATGTAAATGAAAAGTTGCATGATATCCCTCGGAATGACACTATGTAAAGCTGGTTCCGAGTAACCGAATGATATTAACCAAAAGAAGTTGATTGCTTGAATGATTATACCAGACCATGGAGAGGTAAAAGTCAAAACATGCATTATGTTATCCCATTATGTTATCACTGAACAATTTAGAACCATCTGATGGATAAAAAAGTAACACAGAGCCTCTTTGGCATTAATTATAATCACAAATAAACAATTCCAATAAATTCTCATACCTATCGGCAACATATTGAAGAATCTCATCGCCAAAAGAAGGTATGGTGATATCGATCAATTGGCCTTGGCTTCTATCCACAACATGCTTATACATGGCAACGTCCTTATGCATGTACCATTTATACCGATTATCCATACAAACAACCCTCCACATAGAAGGATCATTGCAGATTTTTCGCCAAGTAGTGCACACTTTCTGGGCATTCTCAAGTATGTCAAGCACGTCAAGTCTGGAAAGTATATTGGACATTACATCTGATGGAAGATCCAACCAGTTYCTTCTTGGTTGTTCCACCTGGCATGGCTGCTTGGGTTCTAGAATGAACTCGACCTTCTTGGGTTTTCRACAATACGATTTTGATGTGGATGGCATCATCACTTTTGCATGTACAAAACAATCATAATTTTAGACCAAGTCATTTATACATATATTAAAAGATTTGTTAATGTATTTAAAATGAATGATCATTCAGTGATACAGGGGTAAATGAACCGAAATGCTATATCAAACCTGAAGATCAAATTTTCTGGAAACACAATTGCAGGACGCATTCGTAATTACCAATAACAAGAACATGAATTTGAGTTGGCATAGCAAAGTGGACAATCAAATTTCACTGTAACATCATCACTGATCAAACACTTTCTTACACCTTTTCATACATCAAAGAGAATAAAGACTGTTTAGATGCTCCCTATTGGAGTTGTCTTCTCCAATGATCACAAAAATGCTTATTCCTACATTTAAAAAATCCAAGTGTTTATGGTTGTGAAACTTGACTTCTGGGAGTAATCCAGAGTATCTTACACATGATTTTTCAAATATTTACTACGTCAAGAGCATATTTCAAGCAACACAAATATTTACTATGTCAAATATTTACCAAGTCACATTACCTTACCGGATAAATATGGTAAAGATCAAGAATCTTACCGGTAAGAGCGAGACAAGGACCAAGTCTTACCCAGGAAGTGAAAGCGACGACTCTAAACATGGTAAGCACTTACCGGGTAAATTGTTGCATACGATACCGTTTTGGTGGACTAAAATCATACCCGGTAAGTAAATGATAATGTTGAACTTTATCGGTAAGCATTTACCAGATAATTATTTGGTAAACGGCCTCTAAAAATCCATAAGTTTGGTAAATAGTCCTGAAACACTTTGCATAGAATAACCAAAGATTGAGATACAAACACTTGTACCTTAGGAATGGATGGTAATATGAATTTTTGCCTCAACAATTGCAGCCTATATCTTTCTTTGGTCACAGGATCATATAGATATGAGATTGTAATCCATGCATTCCATATATCTTTCTAAACGCAAATATAAACTTTTAGTTCAAAAACAAAGTAAATTGATTAATTTCACATTCCATGAATTGATAATCATGGCTTATGATCCAGCAAGAAGCATGAACTGAGTTTGGTAAACATCAAGTACAATTAGATCCAAAATCAATCCAAACAGCATCTTAAAAATTAGTGACAAATAAACCATGACGAACCAAGTAACGACTTGTTTGAATTTTAAAGAACTGATGAATTGGGTAAACATCAGGTACAATGTCATTATATATATATATATATACATACATACATACTGGAGATGACAATTAGCACAACAACTAATATCTTATGTCTAGAAGTCATTGGAAGAAGGACTCTTCTATCATCAATAGCATCTCAATGAATCACGTATCGAGATATACAACTTTGTGACAACTAATATCTTTGTGACAACAAACATATGTACTTGTCAGGTTTACCTTTAATATTTCTTTTGATTCTTTGTGGATGTATACAGTTGATCATATGAACTCTTGTTTAGCAAGTCGCAGATCCTGAAATACGTTATGTGCCTTGTAGTCTCGCACCTGTCATGTTCAGTTGAGGTAAAAAGATGAYGATGAGATAAAGATAAAAGGCATACYGRGGCTCTGAAGTGAGATCRKATTCCTAATATAGAGCTCTGTATGATATATGCGTTTATACACTCTTTACMCACAWTATAAGTTGCCTGAAAGAAAATAAAATTTTCAAGCTCCRTATGGAAAAAAATTAGAAAAAGCACAAGCTTAATTTACCTTCAAAATGGAATTACTCCTCGAGTTATTATGAGTTCCATATGCTAAATGTGCCTGCAAGAAACAAAATGTGATAGAAACTTGTATTTTAATGTTTGCATGTTGAGGCTAATTCACCTACATGTCAAAACAAGATGTCAAAACAAAAAAAAATCTGAAAAATGTCAAGGGTACATGTGTTGTCTTTGTGTCACACAACTATCTCAAAACAAATAACAACATATCCAAACAACATATCCCACATATTATGATACTACATAAAAGTAATTTGTTGGTGAGAAAACCAAAAGATTCAAGTAGAACAAACCCATTGTAACAAACCCATTCATAGAAAATATAGTGAATCAAAGTTATGCAAACCAAATAATTACCTGAAAGATGGATTGATTTATTTTCTGGTGGAGTAGGCATTTTCTTCTTCATCACAATAACAGAGACTTCGTCTCCATCAGTTTTTCTTGCTATATTTTTGTTCTTCAAGTGTTAACAGAAATAAATGCGATCTGGATAGCAAAATCAAATGAAAAATCGTAGATTCATTCAATAAAACACCTAACTACCTATTAATTTCTGTTTTAAAATGACTTCTGGAGATTTAGGGGTTTTGTTTTCGGGTTTGGTTCTCCACAAAAATCGTTGATTCATTCAACAACACCTATCTATTGATCAAATAGAAAATTGTAGATACATACCTTTTTGTTTTTCTTCGCCATTTTCAGCCATATTTGTGGAGAACCAAACCAGAAACCAATGCCCTTCCATGTGTCGTTTCAAGATCTCCACATTTCTTATGACCTAAGCAAAGGAGAGGCGTATTTGGGAAGATGATATTTTTGAGAGTAGTGTTGCCACCTATATTCTAAATGTGAATCAATAAGTTGTACTCTATGTTGAATCGATTACCTGGATTGAGGAGCGATGGAAGGATCGAGGGATCGAGAAGCTTTTAAATGGAGCTTGAATCATAATCTGAGTTTTTGAATCGTCACTTTGGGATGAGAGATGGAGTGTATTCGAGTATGGCCATATGGGAGGGGAGCGACGGAAGTGGAAGAGGCGTCTTGGGAGGGTAGCCAGGAGCGAAGGAAGAGGCGTAGTAAAGGATAATAGGTAAAGGGGTATTTTGGGTATTTATAAACTTAAGAYTTTAAGACTTTAAGTGAAAATGCTTAATAAAGTAGTATAGATATAGATAAAAAATTAAAAATAAATGGGTTATATATATCTATACTATCTTATAAAGCAAATTTAGCAAAAGTTTTAAAGTCTTAAAATTCTAAATGACCAAAATGCTCTTTATATTCATTTTTTCACTTTTTCACCACCTCCTCTCCTCACATATACTCACACTCTCATAACCGATTTTTTTTAAAATTATAACTAGTTGTGTACCAACGCAATGCGGCGGGAGCCATGAATTTTAACGATTTTGAAGTTCCACTGATTTTATAAGATAAGATTTAACGATGATATAGGTTACGCTCGGTCTTTACATATTAATACAATTTGAATAAATAAGAGTTATGGTTCCAATTACAGACTATCGATGAAAAAAATTGTATGACAATTTAAAATCCAATATATTTAAACGACTCCACAAATGTGTTCGATTTACACCAAGAGCAAAGAACCAAGAAACTTGAGTTTTAAGATAAACACTCAAAACCAATAAAGAAACTACAAATTTAACAAATCATAAGCCATGAAAAGACAAAAAAAGATGAGTTTTAGAATGAAATTTTAACTGTTTACCCTCTTTCTTGTCCAGAAACTCAGATTAAGGTTGAATTAATACATGT